CTATATATATATATATATATATATATATATATATATATATATATATATATATATATATATATATAACTGTTCACTTGACTCCTCAGATCTCTACAAAGTATAAAAAACAGCTAACTGGATTTTGAAAAGGACATTAGAGAGGTAAAAATATGAGCTAAAAGGGTAAAGTATTGACGTTTTGCTCATAGTTATCAAGTTTCAAAGAGGTAAAAAAATCAACAGTTGTGTTTCTTACATTGTTAATATGATATTTAACATTTTACACAGCATTTCACAACACATCAAGCTTAAAAGATTAAAGAAATCAAGTGTTGCGTCAGGTTTGAATCAGGTAGAGAACATCTCATCAGCCCCAGCTCCTGAGTGCAACTCCATCACTTAAAAATATTGAAATTTCAGGATCGAAAGAAAAACTGATGAAATTGAGGTGCGTGGAAGGGAGAAAGACTCTCCTGCCTGATGGAAACGTCTCAGTGCAGTTCAGAAAAGTGGAGAGAAGCAGCCTAGAGCCATATTTTGGGGTGGAGGGGCTTAACTCCTGCATAATTTCTTGCAGCAGACGTTAGTCTGGAGGATCACTATGCTCTTTAGCACAGTCCGACTGATAAATCAGTAGGACCAATAATTTAGGCCAATATAGATGTCTGGGGACGTTTCGTATATGTGTTAATGGTCCCATTATTCGCAAATATAAGAACTTCTAATTTTAACCCCTAAAATAATGGAAACTAGCGTAATTGGACAATGTATCCAGCAGAGGGCGCATGAAGATTGCTTTCAAATCATGGCCATGCACTTAAGTTTCACTTTCAGCACAGCTGAAGCAGGGAGCCATACTTTGTAGCATATTTTGCTGAACAGAGAATAGTAAGTTTATTTTAACCGGTTTGTAAAACAAATCAACAATAATAAATTCTCTTCAACCCTCCAACCCGTTTGGCATTAGCTACGTGCATCTCAATTTAGCAAGCTAACATTTACTGTAGATAACCTAGCATAGGCTATTGCCTCGCAAAATTTTATCCATAACAATAAATGTAACGTAGCAATAAAATACATCAGTGTTCGTAATGTTATCTTTGCCATCCTCTTTGAAATGCATTGTTTGTCCGAAATCTTTACTTCTCTGCAAAGAGAAACAAACACGGTTGCAGTGAACACTAATTAGGCCTTCACCATACGTGAATGTTTAAACAATGAACATGGAAGGACATTTCTTTGTTTAATTCGTATTTTTGCAACGCAGTTGATAACATTAATGTGAATAGTGGAGGACAGAAAATGTGAACACACATTAGGAAGACTGTTTAATGACTTCAAGTGTTAAAACAGGTTTAATAGTAGCTGTTTTCTTAGATTCCTGGGGGTGGACAAAGTTCAAAACTTTCCAGCCATTATATTGGTTACGGTGGTCACCTTACCCTCCCAATATCGGCATCGACGATAGCCAAGTCAAGTCAAATTTCTTTATATAGCACATTTAAAACAGTAACTAGCACAGAAGTGCATGCAGCTGAAGGCCAAGACAAAGGCAAAGGTGTGAGTGGAAACCTTTTAGTTAGTAGAGAAATGAAGTGGTGTGGCTTCCATCTCTGCAAGTCACCAAAAAACTACAACATATTTAAAACTGAGCTCAGTGAATGCTGGAAAAAAGAGCTATTCTCATTCCCAGAATGTCCAACACTTCCATTTGTTAAACGGTCATTCAAGAACATTTGGTGTCATTTGTTGATGCACAAGAAGAAACGCAGGAAGCACCATTATGGATTATTAACTTATAAACAAGCCACAAGGTTTATGGAAAGAAGGAGGCCCAAAAAGCTTTTAATTTCTACAACTTTATTTTAACTCCTTGCTGTTTACTTGTGGTCTCACTTCTTGTTGACTGAGTTTAGGCACTTAAAGTACTTCATTTACATTTAAGAAAAGATTATTTAAAGTAAAATAATGTATAGATTATTTTCTGAGTTTGGCTAAAATGCAAAAAAAAAACAAAAACATTTCTGTTAATCAAACATATCGATAACAAAACTCAAAGATGTCCAGTTCTATTTCAATTTATATGTCAAAGTTTTTCTAAGTTGCAATCATGTTGAATGAGACTGAATTCATAAGTAAAACGTTTACCATCGGTAGAGAATCATCCAATAATGATGTACTAGTACACCAAAATTTAGGCCAATATCTCTGTCTTTTAAATCAGCTGGCTGCAGCAACTATCTTGAATCGAGTAGTCTTTAAAATAAAAATAACATAAAAATAAAAATCAGGGGTAGAGGTACATTTGGTATGACATGCTATTTTACAGCATAATCAAATCACACCCCTGTCTCTAATCAATAATATAAATATCAAAGTTTGCATTTTTCCTGGTCATATCATTTATCTAATCAAAATTTAAATTTAAAATGTCTGCTGTCAAATTTTTAGATCATAAAATAAACTTATCTACAATATCAATTGCAATCGTAAAAATCTTAATTTAAATTAAATTAGAATGCCTAAAAAGTTTGAATGGCCTATTTATCATTTACAAGTCAGTCTGAATATGTTTCTCTATCGCGGTTTTTCAAAGTAAGATTGAACATGACACACAATTGGCTGATTGATGGATGAGCCACACGATCGGCATGGAATTTTTATTTAAAGTAAATTATTTTATATTATTTAGCAACTGTTGCAACTGTGTGCAGCTCACAGAAGAAGGAGAAACACCCTCCTGCAGCGTGTCATATCTCTGCCCTGCAGAGGAAAAGTGGGCGTGGCCGAGAGCAGCCAGAGGCAGAGAGCTGAGATCATGACATGCTGTGCTTTTTTAGAGCGTTTAGTTTTTTAAAAAATTGTTAGGGACATTGCAAGAGTATGGGGAGGGTTTAAAACGCCTAAATATATATGTGTATATAAATACTAAAATAAACTACTACTTACTACTACTTCTACTACTACTTGTGTACATAATGTCATTCTATGTCATGCACCACGAGATGTTAATTACAATAAAGTTTACTTGAAATTGAACTTGGATTACAGCATCCCTACTTAGTGGTTTTTCACTTATCGCGGGGCGGGGGGGGGGGGGGGGGGTGTCCCAAACCCCTGCGATAAACGAGGGACTTGTGTTTTGTTAATTCAATTGTTTCTTGTCAAAATGAACATTTCTCAAATCCAGAAAGAGTCTTCCAATTGGAGCTGTCATTTCTAACCAGGGCCCGCCCCAATATTCAGGCCGGGCCAAAATAATGTGCTGGATGGGCGGGCCGGGTCAGTGTCGGGCTTTTGATTGCATCAGCGGACGCATGCGGCTGACGATCCAATTTGGTTCACCAGCCGTGCGCAGCCATTTGACCGCACGCTGACCGGCCGGTTGAAAGAGGTAAAAAAAAAAAAGTCTAGGTGGATCACTGCCCGTGACTCACCTGAAGCTTAACTGGACTCAACCACTGCGTCAGCGGACGAACATCGCCGACGGCCCAATTTGGATCATCAGCCGTGTGCGTCTGACAACCGTTAATAACTATAATTAATATAATGCTGACTCTTGTTAATAAACGATAAATCTTATATCTTCCTTTCTTTGAAATACGTTTTTAAATCATGTCAAACTGATTTGCTTACAAAAGCTGTAGAAGCTTGATTTTTTATTTTTTTTATTTTTTATTTTTTCGGGTCCAGGCCTGTAATCGCAGCTAATTGGTCGGTTTCGGGTCAGGCTTGGAAAAAATGATATGGGTTCGGATCAGGCCGAGTCAATTTTTTTAGGCCCGAACGCAACTCTACTTCCAATCTATAGTCAATATTTCAGAAATTACAAACATTCTTCAGAGAACAAATGACGTCACATTTCCAATTCATCATTGTTTTGATTTGAGCATTTTCTCTGTCCATGTGTGCACATCCTAAGTATTCGTGCACAACAAGAAGTTAACAGTTGGTTAATGTTGTGTTTTGAGTCAGACCTTCCTGCATGGAATAAAACATGCGAGTTGTCTTGAAGGGAGCAGGTCAGCAGTAGCAAAGCTCATAATGACAAATCAGGGTTTACTTTAAATTCTAGCTGTAAACAATTTGAGTAATTTCAGGATGCCAGTGCTAATGGGGTAAAATTAAGGCAAAGAGATGATACAAAAAAATGTGTGTGTGTCAGAACACACACCATCTAAACAAAAATGGAAGCCAGGAAATAAAACACGACCTCAATTTAAAAAAGGGTAAGAGGACAAAAACTGAGAAAACAGTTCTGAGAAGGATGTCAAAAGGCTAACCTAAAGGATTTCATCAAAGCTCATTAAATTATAGGGTTATTTTAAATCACTTATTCTTTGCCCCTCATGTTCAATTCATCAGTTTGAGTCAAGGAAGTTGAGCTTTGTTTAATTTATTCAAAATAAAGGTTGTGTTTAGATGGCAAGCAAAGAGTCTGATTGTTAATAACAGGTTTCCGATAAGTTCCCAGTGGATTTTCATTTATCTTTTTCTTTCGGCTGTTCCCTTCTTCAGGGGTGGCCCACCTTCTCTAGCCTCTGCGCCACCACGCCACTCCTTTATATGAACATTTATTTCATAGTTTAAACATATACAATTATTTTTATTATGTGAAATTTTTTAAATTATTGTATGATAATTTTGCCAGCACGGTAGTGAAGTGGTTAGAGTGGTTGTCTCACAGCAAAAAGTTTGCAGGATTACTTCCTGACCTTTTTATTTGGAGTTTGCATGTTCTCTCTGTGTAGACGTGGGTTTTCTCCCCGGTTTCCTCTCATAGACAAAACCAAAGTATGTTATATTGATTGATAACTCTAAATTGTCCATCGATGGCAGTGTGAATGGTTGTTTGTCTCATTTGTCTCTACGTGTCCCTGTAATGGACTTGTGACCGGTCCAGGTTGTACCCCGCCTATCACACAGTGACTGCTGGAGATAGGCACCAGCTCCCCCGCTACCCAAAAACAAAAAGGATGGCTGGACACTGACACTGTGAACAGATGTTTTGCTTGACTTACCTCTCTCCACTCTTTGGTTCCCACAGCTTGCACGTATAACACAACCACTGGAAGGGAAAGAAGGAAAAAAGTTTGAAAAAAGGAGGAAGGGAGAAGACTTTGTATTATTTCTATTATTTGTATGGTATTCTACAGCACCTGCACGCCATGGCTAATATTAAAACGCTCAAATCCGCATCGTATTTTATTAAATCTAGTGTCGCTTGAGCCAGGTAAACAACTTCTTATTGAAAACTTTTCAAGGACGCCTTAAGAAAAAACATATTAACAGTGTTTTTTCCAGGAAATAACATTCCCTTTAAATAAAGTAAAATAACTAAACCAAAAGTTGATGAAAATAAATTAAACCTAAACACCCTTCTTTGCATGAGAGGTGACTTTAAAGGTTTGTTTTTATTTAATTACATTTTGGTTATGAGGGTCAGTTTGTATGACCGTAAAGTACATTTTGATTAACTAAAGGCCTAACATTCCCTGAAGGAAAGAATGCCGGCCGCCATCTTTCACAAAATAATTGAAGATGGCCCCCGCAGCCATCCGAGATTTAACACATCCCCGAAGTAGTGATAATGCTCAGAGTATGTGTTGAGGATGATTCAGCTACTGCGACACGAACCCAAGCTTGTGTAAATGTATAGGTTCAAACCATTTTTGTTTTGGCAACAGTCAATTAGTTGTGGCAGCCATTTTTAAAGAGGTTGACTCCAAAAGTCAGATTGTGTACATACAATGACTATATTTCAAGACTCATTAAATTGTATCTAATAGTTTGTGTGATATTTTGTTAACAGACAAGATTAACTATAAATATTCTACATAGTGTTACAAAATAGGTGGAACTCTTGAATTCCAGTCAGGTTTTAAACCAGGGCACATCGCACAGACAGCCCTTCTAAGAGTTCTTACTGATCTTTTTTGAACCGCTGATTCGGGAAACTCTTCTGTTTTAGTGCTTTTACACCTTTCTCCTGCCTTTGATACCAAATGTGGACAAGAATAAATTGTTGCCAAGGCTTGAGAACAGGGTTGGTATCAAAGGCACAGTTTTATCCTGGTTTAGATCCTACCTGTTCTCCATCTGCAGCTCCTTTGATTTGTGGGGTACCTCAAGGGTCTGTTTTTAGTCCACTACTTTTTAATCTTGTTGCCTTTGGGGTCCATTTTTAGAAAAAAACAACATTCCTTTTCATTGCTTTGCTGATGATATTCAGTTATATCTGCCCATTAAGTTAGAGAGGGTCACTCCACTGGAACCACTCTTGAATAGTCTGAATGATATTAAAGTCTGGTTGAAACTAAATTTCTTGAATCTAAATGAAAATAAAACTAAAATCATCAGCTTTGGTAAATGTAACGCTCTTGACACTCTTGGTCTCTTGGCTTCATACAGCCGCTTCACTGTCTGGAATCTGGGGGTTATTTTTGATAGTGCTTCTAAATTAGATAAATGTAAATGTGTAAATGCAGTTGTGAAATCCAGTTTCTTTCAGCTAAGACTCGTTGCCAAGGTGAAGTCTTGTCTCCCTTTCAGAGACCTTGAAAAGGTGATGTAATCTTTTATTACCTCTTATTTAGACTATTGTATCTCATTACATGTTGGTTTAGATAAATCATCTCTGCATCACTTACAAACCATCCAGACCACAGCCGCTCATCTTTTAACAGCAACTAGAAAACTTGAACACATAACCCCTGTCCTGGCTTATCTCCACTGGCATCCTCTTCACTTCTGGATTGATTTTAAGATTTTATTGCTCGTTTTAAAAGTTTTAAAAGGTCTGGCCCCGTCATATGTATGTGATCTTCTTAACATCTACACTCCAGTAAGAGCACTCTGGTCTACCAACCGGTTTCTCTTAGAAGTTCCTAGATCCAAACTGAAATTCAGAGGTGATTGGACTTTTGCAGTTGATGCTCCAAAACTGTGAAACAGTTTGGCTTATAATTTAAAGACCGCTGAGACTGTTGAGACGATTAAATCTTAGCTCAACACTCGTCTTTTTTCCCTGAGATTTAATCCGTGTAGAGTTCGAGAACCAGTTAAAGCTGATTTTTCTTGTTGTTGGGTGTTGTATTTTATTGTTAACTTTCTTGTGTTTCCTTGACACAATATGTATTTTCTTGTTCTTCTTTCTTGTTTTCACTTTTATATTGACTAAACTGTAAAACACCTTGGTCAACCTTGTTGTTTTTGTGTGCTATATATATAAATTGACATTGACATGAATGACTCTTGGCTATTACCACATCAAATTCGAGCTCAATATCTGTCAAATTGGTTGAGCTATTGCCATTGTTATGTTTGCTAATGGTGATTAGTTGTAGTGGCCATTGTGAGTTGACTCCATATGAGAATTATGTGTAAATGTGCATCCAATTACTTTCAGAGAGTTTCAATAAACTCCATCCAGTGCTTCACAAGATATTTTGCCAACAGACACAGATTACATCAAAAGCTAATGCCAAAGTTCTAAGAACACATGTTGCTCAACTCAATCAGTCTTGTAGTACATGTTGAGAATGGCTCAGCTACTACCACACTATTCAACAATGTTCAGTCAGGTCATCTGGACAGTTTCCTTTATTCCTGAGATGTTTTGTCCTTCATGCAAAGGACTTCTTCAGTCTGAGGAGCCACCAAACAAAACTGATTCCCACAAAGAGCATAATCCTTAGTGGAGAAAAACTGTTTGCTGGTGCTAAGATGGCCTCCGAGGCCCACCCTCTCCCCCGTCAACCCCTCTGAGACAGTCATGTCAAAGTTGTTCAAAACTCCACACCATGTTTATCCCGGTACCTATGAATGTGCATTGAGTTTTGACAATTTCTGTTTGTTCAAGTTGAAAACAAACACACAGGGGTAATAACATTGATGCCACTTCGCTTTCAAGAGCAGTGATAACAAGTCCACTAACGTCACATCTGAAAATCGAACAGAACAAAAATATCCTTCTTTTTGAGGCCAAATATTGGTTTATACTTGGTCTTACTTTCCTTTAAAAAAACAACTGGGCACATAGTGAAGGTCTGTTCAAGAAATATATTCAAAACTCACCAAGGGCATTTATACTGTATTTTCCAGCCAAGTTATCTGTATTAAGACAGCACAAGCCCTAATGCTCTAAATGAACTTCAGATTGTCTAAACTGACAAATGATTAAAACAAAATTGTCCCTCCTAATGAGCAATTAATAGAGGGGAGATAAGAGAGAAAGAGCAGCAGGTGGTGAATCTTTTGGGCACTGTGTTTAGAAGAAAACAATCTTTTCTTTGTCACATCATCAACCATGCGGAAAACAGAATATAGTGCTGCTTAAATTGGTTTTGTAAATCTGATTAGAACAAACTAATCAGTTCGTGACTTGCATGTTAGCCTTTATTTGACTTGGGAAGAAAAAAGGTAGGGTGGAAGATGACCAGGTCTGTTAGGTTCAAGTCAAACTGTCCAAGTGAAGAAGGACTTTTGAGAGATCGAACCATCCAGAGTATGGGCAGCAGAGGCCGACAGAGAACTCAGATTAATCTGTGGTTAAGTTACATGAGCGTCTGCAGAGTCCAAAGAACCTGACTGATTGCCTACTTTATGGAAAGTGACATAAAAAGGAAGAGGCACATCTGGTCGGCCACGTAGCAGCTAAACGACAAAGCAATCCCACGTCCCTCTGAAACCGAGTTCTAGCTACGACATCTGAAAATAGTATGGCTGCAGCACTGGGCTCAAAGAGAACTTGAATGATTCGAAATGGAGCACAAATCACATTAAGAGGTAATGGACATCCACAGCTTAGCAGTATGAAAGTGCTACAGTAGGAGAATGAAACACCACCAAACTGGGTCATACAGACATATTCAAAAAGCTTGATTTTTGTTAAAAATAACCTACATTATTCGTTATAAAGATTCAATGCTTTCTGCAGACTTACAAAAGCCATTAGTCAAAGCAGAAAACTTCAATTAACATTGATTGGGTGACTGGTTGCTGCGCTATATACACAGAATATGTTGAGCTTCATAAAAATGTACCTCTTTCATCTCATGGAATAAATTAATTCAAGTTTAAACTTTATTCTGAAATTAAACTATAGAATAAAAAATGTTAGCAATATCATATGTTCTTTTATTTTGTTTTATCCCTGTCAACCGGTGGATAAAATACGTTCAGTCCTATGTGCAATGTGGTCTGACATCCATGTTTTTAATATTTTATGAAATGTGACAAATATATTATTGTTAAGTCATTGCCATAATTAATAAAAAATATGCTGGTATTTGTTTTCTTTACTTTCCCAAATAAAGAAGTGCTCAAAATATTATCAATATCAATATCAAACTGAAGAAACTGTATTTTCTGTGAAAATACAATATGATGCTGATTGGCTTTGCTGACATTTGCTGAAAGAACTGAAAATTCATTCATTCAACCTTTTTTTATACAGGTTAATCCCAGTGAGCCTCGGGATGAGTTGCTGAAGCTAAAAGATGAAAGACACAAGCTAAAAACTAAAAGGAGCAAAAGCCTAGCTCAGTTTCATCCTACCAGTATTCATGAACAAGACGCCCAGACACTTGAACTCCTCCACTTGAGACAAAGTCTCCCCCCAACCCAGAGGGGGCATTCCAACTCATCTCGGGTTGAGAACCATGTTCTCAGACGTAGAGGAACTGATTCATTATGGCTACTTCACACTCAGCAGCAATTTGAACCTGTGCATGCAGAAGGTCCTGGTCTGAAGACGCTAGCAGACATCTGCATAAATCAGAGATGAGACCCTGAGGTTCCCAAACCAGACACCCTCCTCTCCATGACTGCACCTCAAGATCCTGTCTATGAAAACCACAAGCAGGATCAAAGACAAGAGACAGCCCTGGCAGAGTCCAACTCACATTGAGAACAAGCTTGACTTTATGCCAAGAATGCGGACACAGCTCCTTCTTTGGTTATACATGGACTGGATGGCTCTTAAAAGCTACTCAGGTTGTCAGAATGCCTCAAGGAACATGGTCATAAGCCTTCTCCAGATCCACAAAACACATGTACACCAGAGAAGCAAACTCCCATGACCCCCTTAGCAACTCCATAAGTGTAAAGATCTGGTCCACTGTTCCTTAACCAGGACGGAAGCCACACTGCTCCTGAATCCAATGGATGACAATCAGTTCATTCAGAGCCTCCCTTCCAACACCCTGGATTAAACTTTCCTGGGGAGGGCAAGAAGTGTGATTCCATAGTTGAAACACGCTCTCCACCACAGTCCTCCCTTTTAAAAAATGGGAATCACCACCCCCGTCTGCTACTTCACAGGTGTTGTCCCAATCCTACATGTAATTTTGAAGAGACGTGTCAACCATGACAGCCCCAAAACATTCAAAGCCTTCAGCATCTCATGTCATATCTCATCCCCCTGACTCCCTGTCACTGTGGAGCTTTTTGACTGCCTTAGTGACTTCTGTCATGGTAATGGACTCGTCTTCAGACTCTCGGTCCTCAAAGGTGGACATGGTAGGTGGATTAAGGAGATACTCAAAGTGCTTCTTACACTGCTCAACAATATCCTCAGTTCAGGTCAGCAGTTCTCCACCCAAACCAACCACAGTCCGCTTTCCTTTCCTAAGTCATAGTCTAACCATTTGCTAGAACTTTCTCGAGGATTTCTCCCATGCCTGAGTTTTAACTAGCACAACTACCAAAGCAGCAGTCCTTCTGGCCACCCTGTGCCTGCCAGATGCGTCAGGAGTATTCCAGAACAGCCAAGTCCTGAAGGCCTCCTTCTTTAGCTTGACGCCTCCATCACCACTGGTGTCCACCAGCAGGATGGTTGCTGCCCCGACAGACACCATTAACCTTCAGGTCACTTTTTATGGATAAATGGTGGAAGATGGATGGATGGATGGACGGACGACGGATGGACGGACGGACGGATGGATGGATGGATGGATGGATGCTTGTTGGTCTAAAATTAATCCATCCCAAACTAAAGCTACTTGCCTCAAACTAACCAAGCATGGACTGAAAATAAAGTTGCTCTTGGGATATTCTTACCTCGGTACCACTTCAGAACCACCTCTTCTTGAATGTGATATGTTTGTCATTGGTACAACTGAGCTGGAATTTTTTTACCCACCAAAGATAATTATCTCCACAAGTATGGTAAATTCTAATAAACACATATTACAAGCCAGCATCGTGCACAATATCAGTGGTCATGATAGTTGCCCTTAATCTTTGTTGATAGTCTCTGTGGATTCTGCTCCATGCACCACTCCTGTCACTTCAACTCAAATAGCCTCCACTGTGAAAATGGCATCTCATTTTTGACTTTTGGTGGCACTAAAATGTGCAGCCAATTAAATGAATACTTCAGTGTGTCTGTCACAAGGAGATACAAGGTTTTTAAAGTAGCTTTACTGTGTGGACACCGAGTCACCGGACATTTTGGTTACTGGTACATTATCTATAATTGGGTGGAGAAGCATCAGCAGTAGTTGTTACTGGTAAATTATCTATAATTGGAAGGAGAAAAATCAGCAGTAGCTAACTTCAGTGATGAGGTAACTGAGGAGACGTTGCAGTAGTGTGACTTTAAACTCCCGAGGCAAAAAACCCCCCAAAAAACTTGGATTTTTAAATCTGGTAGTCAGCCAACTCAGAAAGTGTTCAAAACCTACCAGAGGAGAACCAAGAACAGTCAGAGTGTGATTTTCTGGAAATAATAAAGGAGATTTTTATTTAACCCACTTTAATATCATGGCAGAAAAATGTCAGCAGTAATGTGGACATGTAAGACTCCTGAAGTAAAAAGGTCAGACAGTGGGTCACATTTGCCAGCAGACTATTATTACATCTCATGAATCCTATATCCTGTTTTAATTAGCATGTTGATATTCAACGCTCTAAATAGACAAGAAATATGCAAATTCGTGATTAAAAGCAATTGTAAAAGCATCTAACTTGTCTTAATTCAATGGACTTTTAACACATTAAACTAATCTCCATTTGTAATCATAATTTAATTTCCAATACTTAATGTAAAGTTTATTTTTAAATAATTTTCATGATATTTTAATGACTATTTACTGCTCTTTACCTATAGAAGTTGCACTGCATGAGAACAGAATCAGAAGAAGACATGCTGACACCAACAATATGCCACTCGTGTTCCTACAGGCCAAGGGCATAATTTGCTTGCTGTGAGGTGAAGCAGGGAGGTGACCAGAGAGGTGGGAGCATGAAGCTTAGGGGGCTGAGGGACAACTGATGCACGACAGTAAGAATAAAGGAATATTAAAAAAGAGCAGACAGGGAGAGGTGAAGTGAGGAGAACAATAGAGGGCTCGAGTGGGAAATATACTGGTCAAAGAAAGCATGGCGATGAAGTTACAGGGCAAAAAATAATTAGTTGAGTCTTATGTGAAAAAAAAGAAGCATAGTGGAATTTTAAGTTGTCACATGGTTGAATATTATAACTGAGGATTGTAGCTTTAGGACACTGACTGTCAGGAACCCTTTGCAAACACACCTCTCAGGCAGAAACTACGTTAGGGAGGCTGATCACAGATTTAATACAGAGAGCAGCTGTCAAAACAGAAATAGGGCAACAGAGGGAGCAGAAACCTACTTTTTGAACCTCAGTGGAAAGGCTAAGACGAGACACGCATATCAAAGCAAGGGAGAGGCCGTGCTCCAAACAGGATATCTTACCTGTAAATCTAACCCAGTTTTAAAAATTAAATTGCAAAAATATGGTGTAACAAAGAGAGCTTCGTTGTAACTTCTTTCCACTGAAGACAACAGAGTAATATTGATTTTATCATTATGTGCGTGTTTGTCTGTTCATTTATTGCGGACTTGCTCTATTGTGTTTTTTTCAAAATAATATTGGACATGACACACAATTGGCTGATTGATGGATGAGCCACATGATAGGCATGGAATTTTTATTTAAAATTGTTTAAACTTATTTAGCACTTGCTGCACCTCTGTGCAGCCCATAATGCAGGATAAGCTTCCTCCTGCAGCTGATCAGCTAATCTCCATTCAGAGAAGAGAAGTGGGCGTGGCCGAAAGCGCTTGCAGGTGACAAAGAGCAGCTGAGGCACAGAGCTGAAATCATGACATTCTGTGCTCTTTTAGAGCGTTTAATAATAATAATGATAATGTGTTATGTGTTGTCATTATGTTCCCATACAATGGTGTAATTGGCTCTCTGCATTGAACCCATCACACCTGGGATACACTCAGGTGGAGCAGTGGACAGCTCTTGAAAGCACCCAGGGAGCAATTGGGGATAAGGTGTCCTGCTCAGAGACACCACAAGATGTGCAATGACTGGGGATCGAACCTGGGACTTTCAAGTCCCGAGTTGGCTGTCCTACCTCCACCTCATCTCCGCCCCACAGAGTTTACAGTTTAGATAAACGAGGGATTACTGTAATCATTGAGTGGACATCAATTGTTTAACTTTTGGACTCACTCAATTTAAGATGGCCTCGACAGCAAAGCAATTTAGGAAACACCAAAGGGACTATAAATCAGCCATCCAGTTTTACAGATAAAGTAAAATTTGGCATTAGATGAGAGTCATCCCCAACACGTAGTCAGAGCACCACACTGTTGGGATTTCCTATCTGCTGTTCTGAATCTTCCTCTTCTGCTGTGCCCTGTAAAAAAGAACAAAGTAATAAAACTCCTCTTTATCATCTGCACCAGGGGTCCCCAACCTCTTTTGGCACTGACCGGTTTTATGCAAGTCAATTTTCTATGGACCAGCGGCGAGGGTGCAAGTTTGAGGGGAGGTCATGAGCATACAAAATCACAATAAAGTGCATCATATATAATTGAATTATTACATCTTTAATTTATATATAATTTTATATTATGCAAATTTATATTGATAATTTTTGCAGTTTATTTACTTCGACCTTAGCATTGCCGTTAGTCACTCAGTGCAGACACACTTAATGAAGTAGTGGCCTTCAGTAATTGTTTCCGATCTTCATGTACACTTTTTTCTTTCAAAAATCTCCAAAGGCTTGTCTTTTAATGAAGGGTCCTTAGTCTCCAAGTGATGAAGCAGTTTTGAACATTTCAGGGCTCCAGTGGTAGCCGGTCGCCACATATTACAGAGTGTGTTCGGAGCATGTGAATCACCAGATGTGATGAATAATTTAAGTAGCACTCTTTGTATTTTCTTTTGAATGCAGCTTTCTTTTTTGGTGGCAGATGTGCAGGCCTTTGCTGTTTCATCATCTAGCCTTTTCACTTTTTCAAGGAACAAATTTTTGGTAAAGTTAGTTTGAGATGTTACAGATGCATAAAAATAAAAATAAAAACTGCGACTGAGTCAAGTGGTAAAATTGTGCAGAAGGAAGGGATTGATTTTTGAAATAAAATACTGTGCAGACCAACGCAAATAGAAAACAAAAATTAAATAATGTTTCTTTATCCTTTCCGATACCAACTGATCCAAGGCCATGCACTGGTGGTCGGGGACCCCGATCTACAGAATAAAACGATTCACCTATATTCATTTGTAATCCAGCTAATGTCAACTCCACTCTCCACAAATGTAAATACCAAGAGCATTTCTCTTCCTACCCTGTTTTTCTTTTTGAATGTTATTAGTCTAAGAACCCGAACTTTGAAAAAAACTTAGTATAAAATATGTGTTCCATTCATCCATCCATCCATTTTCTTCCACTTATCCGGGGTCGGGTCGCGGGGGTAGCAGCCTAAGTAGGGAGGCCCAGACTTCCCTCTCCCCAGCCACTTGGGCCAGCTCTTCCGGGGGAATCCCGAGGCGTTCCCAGGCCAGCCGAGAAACATAGTCCCTCCAGCGTGTCCTGGGTCTTCCTCTGGGCCTCCTTCCGGTGGGACGTGTCCGGAACACCTCACCAGGGAGGCGTCCAGAAGGCATCCTAAACAGATGCCCAAGCCACCTCAACTGGATCCTCTCGACGTGGAGAAGCAGCGGCTCTACTCTGAGTCCCTCCCAGATGATCGAGCTTCTCACCCTGTCTCTAAGGGAGAGCCCAGACACCCTGCAGAGAAAACTCATTTTGGCCGCTTGTATCCGAGATCTCATTCTTTCGGTCACAACCCAAAGCTCGTGACCATAGATGAGGGTGGGAATGTAGATCGATCGGTAAATTAAGTGAAATTTAATAATAATAAATATGTGTTAATGTTGGTAATATTTTATCTGCTTGAGTGCCTCTTTCCTGCGGTGTTACGCAGAGCTCAATTCTTGGACCCCTTCTGTTTTCACTGTATCTGCTCCCTTTGAGGTCTATCCTGAGGAAACATGGTATTTCTTTTTTTTTTTCATTGTTATGCTGATGATTGTCAGATTTATCTGCCCTTAAAACCCAATAGCTCATGCACAGTTCACCCTCTGTTAAACTGTCTTGATGACATTAAGACATGGAAGGCTTCAATTTTTTTTAAAGTTTCAACGAACAGAAAACTGAAGTTATTGTGTTTAGCCCTAGCTCCACCACTGTCTCTGTTCCTGTAAACCTTGACACTCTTGATCCATAGCTTAAGCAGCCTGTTACAAATCTCAAGATGGTTTGAGACTCTGACTTTAAGTTTAATAAACAGATTAACTCTGTTCTACAAAAGAGCTTCTTCTAGTTAAAGCAAATAGCTAAGCTTGCAGTGTTGACCAGATCTGACCTTGAAAAGTAGTCCATGCATTCATTACAAATTGACTAGACTACTGTAACACGCTTTATGTTGGGGTCAGTCAGGTCTCCCTTTCATGTCTCCTGCTTGTCCAAAAATGCTGCAGCTCAGCTATTAACAAACTCGTAGGTTTGATCGGATTAGTTTTATCCTC